CACTCCAGTCTGGGGGACAGAGTGAGACTCCAACTCAAAAGAAAAAAAAAGAAAAACATTTTTTGTTATAAAGTTTAGAAAAATGAGAACAATATAAAACTTGGGGGACCTTGTTTTTATCAAACTAATCTATCAATTTCTGGTTTGATGGAAGTGGTCACAATTCTTTAGCAAGTTTTCAAGGCGCTTGTCAGAAATGTTTGTTTAGATTTTGCTCTTTGTGTGCTTCATAATTGAAATAGCTGCTCACAAATGTATGTACTGCCAAAAAACAATGTCATGAATAATGATTATGAACTTCAAAAATGGGATTATGCGTACAGCCACAAAGAAAATAAATGCTAAAAAACACACGGTGTTAAAAAATTTTGTGGGGCCACATTACTAGTTATCCTGGGCCACATGTGGCCTGTGAGCTACAGGTTGGCCATAGCTGGTTTAGGGAATAGTGACAAGAAACAATCTGCACATATTCAGTGTAGACATATCTCCCTTTTTTTTCCCCCCTGAGTATTTTCAACCCAAGATTGGGCAAATTCAGGAATACAGAATACACACATGTGGAAGACTGATTGTATTTTCTTTTTCTTCACTGCAGTTTTATGATATAGCCTGATTTGATGTGTTCTTATTTGTGCTTTTTGTATGGAGAAATGCCATAAATTATACCATGGTTTGCCCTGGTCTTAACTGTTGTAAAAGGAATAAGATTTCAGATGTCTTTACAAAGGAGTTGCCACAGAGATAGCAGTGTCAGGAGCTGAAGAACTTGCTATTAACTCTATCCTGGATAACCTTTGCCCTGGGCTATTTTTAAAAAAATCCTCATTTAAAGATAAAACCAAACAATTAAAGTATTGTTTCTTTTACTTTGTTGCTTCTTATCTAGAGCTTTTATTGTGAATCCTTTCCTCAGCAAAATTCAAGGAGTCCTGTCCATGTTTTCCTTTGAGCAGAGTCTTATTAATTTTAGGATTACATAAAACCTGGAGGCCTAGCATCTTGTTACCTATAGTAGGCTACAACGAGCACACCCGTTTTCCTCGTGTGACATAAAAATGGTAGCAATACCCATATGCTCTGGTCAAGGGGTCTTCTCCTTCTCTGCCCTTCCCTTCTTCTTCGTCTTTTTCCTCCTCCTCCTTCTTCATAATCGTCTTTATCTTTGTTATTCTGTTGCATAGTCTTCTACCATTTACAGGAAGAAATTCTCTAGATTTTTGTCTTTCCAGATGATGCTTTGTTCCAATATGTAGGAAATTTCACTAATGCTCTACTATAAAAACCTCGAACCCTGAAGTCAGGATTGAGGTACTGGTTCAGTAAAACAAAGCTCTCAGCACAAGTGAGTTACTGTTCCCTTGCTTTTTTCTCCTTTTCCACTAATGCTTTGGAAAGTAGCCTCTGGGAAATCTCATCTAACGTGACAAATGTACTTACCTGCATGTAAACATCTCCCAAAGGTATTAATTTGCCAGCTTGATTATCCTAGAAGAATTGTCTTTGTTTGAAGTCAAGAATTGCTTGGGTTAAACCATAGACTTAACCTGAAATTTCAGAAACGTGGGAAAGATGAATATCCCCATGCACTGCCTTGTATCTGGAGACTTGCCCATGTAAAGAAACAAAACACTTCTTCCTCACACACAGGCTACTTCCTTAGGGCAGAGGCTGGCACTGCAGCATGGCTCTGGATAGTCCCTCTGCAAAGTTGGTTCCACCTCCTTAGTCCCCATCTTGGCAGAAGTCAGATTGGGTGTCTCAAACAGAATAACCGCTGAACTCTTGATCATGTTTGCGATATTGAATGATCTTGTGGGTGGTGTCATATATAAATGATGTGTCATTTATTTACCTTTTCACGGCTTTGATAAAACTTTTGGTTTTTCATCACTGATTTTTTATTGTGATAAAATGTACCTAACATAAAATGTAGCATATTAACTTTTAAAAGTGTATAACAGTCCACTAGCATTAAGTACATTTACACTGTTGTGCTATCCTCTTCACCATCCATCTGTAGAACTCAATCATCTTCCCAAATGGAAACTCTGTACCCATTAGACACTGACTCCCCATTCTCCCTGCCCCAGCCATCACCCTTCTACTTGTCTATCTCTATGAATTTTATGACTCTAGGTATCTCTTCTAAGTGGAATCAGGTGGTATTTGTCATTTTGTGTCTGTCTCATTTAATGTAGCATAATGTCTTCAAGGGTTATCCATGTTGGCATAAGTCAGAATGTAATTCTTTTTAAAGCTTAATAATATTCCATGGCATGGATGTGCCACATTTTGTTTATCCTCTCATCTGTTGATAAATATTTGGGTTATTTTTGCCTGGTAGCTTTTGTAAATTAATGCTGCTAAGAACATGGGTGTGCAACTCTGCTTGAGTCCCTACTTTTGGTGTTTTTGAGTATAAATCCAAAAATAGAATTGCTGGATCATATGGTAATTCTATGTTTTTTTTTTTTTTTTTTTTTTTTTTTTAGGAACTACTGTACTATTTTCCACAGTGGCTACACCATTTTACATTCCCACTTGTTCTTTAATTTTTCTGTTTAACTTGAGAGCTAAATGAAGAGAAGTTTTTGGTGAACATGACAGGCTTTATTTGGATAGATGGCTCCAATGGTGGTCTGTTACAATGGCTCATGGTGGTCTGTTAAGTTTCCTTAGATCTCTGTGTTGTTTCTTAGAACTTTTACTAAATAAAGAGACTGTGAAACACAGGCTGTGTTTTAGGCGAGGCCAACAAATTGGCATAAGAACACAGGCTCCTCATGGCAGTAGTGTTCTGAACATTGCACTTCCATTTTAGAATGCATCAGTCATAAGTCATATTCCCGGTTTGGGTTCCTACAACCTTTACGGTGGGGCCAGTGTCATGTCTCCTGCTTTTACTTCTTGCCCAGCTGGGACATGGAAGGAGTGTGCACATTCAGCTTCGAGGGGTTACTTTCCCATCTTCAAACATAAGAAATCAGGTAGGCTGAGAAAAGATGGTAGCTTCAGTCAAAGTGAACCTGGATTAAAAAGCATCGAGGATCTCCAACCCCCAGGCACCAGTAGGAATGGTCTCCCATTTGCCAGCCCAGACCTTGGCTTAAGGCCTGGGTAGATCAGAGCCTGAATGCTAAAGGTTTGTAGACCTGGTACAGTCAGGATGAACATTCCATCATTGAGGATGGGTTTGTCATCCTTCTTTTGAGTTGTAAAATACACGAGACACAGAGACTTTTCTTTAAGGTCTCCAGCCCAACTGTCCTGACTGTGTCTAGTTTGAAAAACCATGGTGGTCCCTGTGTGGACTGACTTTGGAGGCATGGATTTTGGAGGAGTTGGCTTGTTCTGAATGCCAGGTAATGCTGAAGTAGTCCCCAACTTGGTGGCACTTTTCCCTATTTTTTGTTACATGGTGTAGACTTCTTGCAGAATGAAGTAAGTGTGAGCAGCCTTCTTATTCTGGTCTTCACTCTCTTTAGTTACTCCAAAGGATAGTTTGTGGGAGAACATTTGTCCTCCACTAGCCCAGCTTCTAAGGTGTGTTGACTCCTTGCAGAGATTTTAGTTTACCTTTATCACTTATTATAGCTCTGTCTAATTGGAATGTGTATAATGTTATGTACGTGATCTATCTTAAGAGAGTGAATTCTGTAAGTTTCTGTTTTGAGGAATATTTATAGTTACCCAAGTGATTAGTTGTGTG